GTCAATCAGATCGTGTGAGAAGACGTCCCAATTGGCACTCAGATTATATTATAGAAGGAAATATTGCATACAACCTTTTAACAGAGGACGATGAGCCATCAACATACCAGGAGGCAATAAACAACTTAGATGCTTCATTGTGGATGATACGATGCAAGAAGAAATTAACGCCCTTCATAAAAATAATACATGGGACCTTGTGTCACTACCACAAGGAATGAAACCAATTGGAAGAAAATGGGTCTTCAAAATCAAGCGAAATGGTAATGATCAAGTGTAGAGGTATCGTGCAAGACTGGTGGTCAAAGGATATGCTCAAAAAGAATGTATTGATTTCAATGAAATCTTTTCTCCTGTTAACAACAGTTCAAGTATTTTTGTTAATGTGTGCTACATTGAACTTACATCTAGAGCAGCTAGATGTTAAAATAGCTTTTCTTTATGGAAATCTTGAATAAGAGATTTACATGCTCCAGCCTGAAGGTTTTGAAGAAAAAGAAAAGAAGAACTTGGTTTGCAGGTTGAACAAATCTCTGTACGGTCTAAAGCATGTGCCGAGGTGTTGGTATAAGAGATTTGATTCCTTCATTATGTGCCTTGGATACAACAAACTTAATGCAGGCTCTTGTGCTTATTTCAAGAGGTTTGGTGATAAAGATTTTGTTATATTGTCGTTTTATATGGATGCCATGTTGGTTGCAGGACCCAACAAAGATCATATTGAAGAATCGAAGGCACAACTGGCTAGAAATGAACTTGGGATCAACAAACAAGATTATAGGGATGCAAATTCACCGAGACAGAAGTAATATGAAGATTTGGCTTTCACAAAAGAATTACTTGAAGAAGATCTTGAAACGATTCAACATGCAAGATTGTAAGCCAATTTCTAACCATCTTCCTATTAACTTCAAATTATCCTCCAGTATGAGTCCTAGTAATGAAGAAGAGAGGATGGAGATGTCTCGAGTGTCGTATGCATCGGCAGTGGGAAGTTTAATGTTTGTTATGATATGCACAAGACCAGACATTGCACATACAGTGGGAGTGGTTAGTCGGTACATGGCGAATCCAGGCAAAGAGCATTGGAATACAGTAAAGTGGATCCTAAGATACATCAAAGGGACTTCAAATGTTGCATTATGTTACAGAGGATCAAACTTACTTATCAATGGGTATATCGATTCTGACTATGCATGGGATTTGGATAAAAGCAAATCTACTACATGATATGTGTTCAAAGTTGCTGGTGGAGCTATAAGTTGTGTTTCAAAATTGCAGTCAGTTGTGGCTACATCCACAACAGAGGCAGAATATGTAGAAGCTACACAAGCCAGTAAAGAAGCAATTTGGTTAAAGATGTTATTGGAGGAGCTTGGGCACAATCAAGAGTATGTCTCTGTGTTTTGTAACAGTCAAAACGCCTTGCATTTAGCAAGGAATCAAACATTTCATTCAAGGACAAAGCACATACGAGTTCAGTACCATTTCATTCGTGAAAATGTAGAAGAATGGACGGTAGATATGCAGAAGGTTCATACCAAAGACAACATAGCAGGTTTCATGACGAAGGCGACCAATGTTGATAAATTTACTTAGTGTCGATCCTCTTGTGGCCTATCATAAATGTAAGCAACATGATGGTACAAGTTAGAGATAATGGTGTGAAGATATGATTGTTTCAATCAAATCTTCAAGTGAGATATTGTTAAAAAATCAAAAGCATATGGGAGGCTAATATGGGGAAGCTAATTTTAGTCTAAAATGGCTGCAAATTTTGTTGTTTTTTGTAAGGGATAATTATAATTTAGTCCATGCACTTTAAGTTATTTATAAGATTAATCCTTAAGCTTCAACTATAAATACCCTATCCCATTTAGCTTCAAAACCATCCCAAATCATTCTAGCTATCTCCCAATACTAGAGAATTTAGAGAGTTTCTTGAGAGTTGTTTTTCTCTTTTTTATCAAGAGAGAATTATCATTGTTTTCTCCTTGTTAGATTGAGAGAGGTTGTAATTCTTATTTTCTCATAGTGAATTTCTTCTATCGTTGCCTGTGGTTTTTACCCTATTTTATATAGGGGTTTTCCACGTAAAATTTGTGTCATCTTTATCTCTATTTTTTTTATTTTCTAAAATTATCAATTGTAATTTTGCTCTATCCGATAGCCGTCTTCCGCAACAGGATATTTTCGTACCTACTCAAATAATAATAGTTTAACCTTGCCAACAAATTAAATAAGGAACTAACCTTTTATAATCAACTAAAGTAACATAACATTTTTACAAATAATCATTTGAAGTAATTAGATTTTTATTTGAGTATATTTAAGTGTGGTTTAGAAATGTTCAGTTAAAAATTTCGTTTGAAACGCATAATTATTCTCAAACAACTCATTTTCAAAATAAAAAATTCACGTTTGAAAATTAATTACGATTCAACCAAAAAGATTAAAAAACGAGAAATATTCTCAAATGAAGTCTAAAAGACTAGGTCCTGACAATTTTAAACGGTCATCTTTAATTATTACTTTTAAGAGAATAACACTCACTTGAGTATATGGCTAAATTTTAAAAATAGACCCTCTTTTAATTATTTTCAAAAACTTTAAAAATATTCTTTATTTAAATATTTAACTAATAATTCAATTTGTAGAAAAATATAAATCACAATATATCATCTTTTATAGTATATAAAATAAGGAGGTAGAGATCAAGGATACCTTATTATAGTTTTCATATTTTTAAATGGACCACTCTCAACTTTCTTATCTAAGTCTTTAAGAGATATCTTTTCCATAAAAACATAGTGCGTGAAAATCATCTCACCGCATAATAAAAAAGATTCCATCAGAACTATATCTCATGTTTTGTGCAAATAAATGAAGACGCTTACGAATAACTAGTTTATTGTCCGATAAAAATATGGGGAAAAAACACATGTAATCCTTTCATCTATTGTTCTCTCTATGCTAATAATTAGGACGGGTATTGAATTTTATGTTAGAGCGGTCAATTTGAATTTATAAAATTTTAGATATTTGTTATAGTATTTAAGTAACTCGTCATGTTGAAATGACGAGTTTGTCTAAATAATATTTTTTTTATTTAAATTTGTCATATCGAAGTGGAGAGTTCTAATATTCTATAATTTTTAATTAATTTTTATCACATAAGAGTAAAAAAAATTTAAAAATAATTTTTTATTCCATGCATTGTAAAAAATACAGTAGATCTCAAATTAAAAATTTGACAACCCTATTTTACATATTTTACATTGTTTTCATTGGGGGGGGGGGAACCACAATCGGTGGTCTATAAGTTAGAAAGAATGAACTATAATATTATGATACCGATCAAATCTACATCGAACAATAAGTATATAAATTAGTAAACCATGACTTGTTAAAAGATATGATAGTTATATTTGTTTTTAAACCTATTTACTAATTTAATAATATATTTACGAATATCCATAATACCTTCGATCGAGAAGCGACAAGATCTGTTTATATCCGCTTTCGTAATCTTGTTGAAAAATCAATATATAAATTCACACACTATCAATATATTAAATATAAATTCAAAAACTTTATAATTTCAACATTATAATTCTGAAACTTTTTTAATATTGTACAAGAAAACTAATTTTCACCATCAATAAAAGCTATTTACAACTTCAGTTTCAAAGAATATAAACTTCTAACGGAGTGAAGAGCAAATAAAGAATTTGTGACGTAAGAGCTCAATATGATTTGTATGTCAATTTTATAGAGGAGAAAACATTAGCGGGAGTTTGGTTCAAGGTATCTCACATTATCGGGAGAGTGTAATGTCATTCCCCCGTTTAGTTGGCAAACATTCCCAACACCCGGTAATAAGTTATTCCCAATAGTGGTATTTTAGGGGTATATTACCGAGAATGTGATTACCTCTTTCCTTAGTTATTGTTACATTCCCGACGTTTTGGATTAAAATGCCTTTATTTTTTCAAAAATATTCTTCTTCTGTCATTGAATAAAAAAAATCTACGAAGGTTAATTTACAAATTTGTCCTTAAACTATTTTAGATTTACAAAAGAAGTCCATAATTAGAATTTTATATGAAGTTCAGGGGTTAAAATAAAAATTTACCCTTTCATTAAACCTATTTATCTTTCAATTTTGTAAAAATAATTATATAAATTTTATGAATTTAAATTTTTTAAAGAAAATATATAAATTAAGTATAGTAAAATTATATTAGAATTCAACTTGTTAAAAAACAAATATATAATAAGGACAATTTGGTAAAATATACATTCCAATAACTTTTATTTATTTAACCAAACACTGTAATTTTACATTCCTACTAAACAAACCAAACACAAAATGCAACATTCCAGTAATTTTATTTCCGCCGGTAATCTTATATTCCGTGAACCAAACGCACCCTTAGAGTTTGATTAGTTTAAAAAGTGTAATTGAAGGGAAATTCTTTGAATTTAATAAATATATCCAGAGTGTCATGTTTAAGAAGAAACATATATATATTATTGTAAATTTAATTTTTATAAATTAATATTCCAATAAATTTAAACTTTTAAAAAATCACTACTGTGATCTTATTTCTTAAAATTGGTTAAAGATTATATACTCCATTTACCATTACCAAGTTAAATTAAAATTAATGTTTAATTTTAATCTTCATTATTTTATTTAGATTAAGATAATTTAATAAATAGAAAAACTTGACTTTTAAAATTACAAAAATTCAATTACTTCTGAAACACAATCTAGCAAGAGAAGAATGTTTCGTCCATCCAAGTCAAAAATAAAGACGAACGTAGGGACTTCTAAGTGCTTGTTTTACTTGGAGAGGTCATCACCGCACCGCCACCAATAGGTCCAATATGAAGACAAATGGGATTTGCATAACCTATAAATTCCTTATGTGAGAAGTTTAAAGAAACAGTTTTTGAATCGATTGTGTTTGGCTTGCTTCTTCTTTCGGAAGATGATGGGTTCGGATCTAAAAGTAGTAAAAGGGATGTCATTCAGAACAGGTCAACTCACGGAATGGGTCAAGTGGAAGAGACTTGGCTCCGGGGGATTTAGAGATGTGTATTTAGCAACCCTAACAAAGCCATACCTCCGATCAGTTGCCGTCAAATTTTGTGAATCACCCAGCCCTTCCCTTCAGAAGGAATATAGGGTTCTTCGCCACTTTCTTCATTCCCCTAATATCGTTCAATGCTACGGTGAAAGCATAACCGTTGAAGACGGTGTTACAAATCATAACCTACTTCTCGAATACGCCGCTGATGGCAATCTCTTGAAATTTGATCAAGATGTACGCTGGGAGAATTCCAGAATCTGGTGTGAGGTGCAATACTAAGATGATTGTTCAAGGGCTCTGCGTTATTCATGAAAGGGGTTACGTTCATTGTGATATCAAACCGCATAATATTTTGGTTTATCGATCTAATCAACCGGGTTCTCTTATTACTTTGAAGATCGCTGATTTTGGGTTGGCCAAACAACCTGGAGAAAGAGAAGAGTATGCAATAGTATCGCCTTATCTTCAAGGCACTTTAATGTATATGTCACCGGAAACTTTTTATGAGGGAAAAATCGGTGCTGCAATGGATATATGGTCGCTGGGATGTACCATTGTCGAGATGAAGACCGGAAAACCTCCATCAATGGAAACAATGGAAATAACCGATATTATCCCCCAACGTATGTCCAAGTCCGGAAAAGATTTTTTGACGAGATGCTTCGCTATGGATCCCAATCAACAACGGACTGCTAAGAGCCTTTAACTCATGAATTTCTTTGTCCCAAGTACGCTCGAAAGAAAATTTTTCTTCCACACGCTATGATGCATCAAAATCGCAATGCGTTGAATCCCTACCTCAGGTTGTAGACCGATACTGATTCTTTCTCTGTCAAAGGATCATATGCTAATGATAGCAATCAAAATTAGTTTGAAACGTTCATAATTCTAGGCCCGATGTTGTGTTTGATTCCAAAAATGATTGATCTCGACCTGAATTTGTTTTATTATGATACAAGACAAACCTCAGGAAATATCATTCTATAACGAAGACAACACATATCCCTTGCGAATTAGCCAGCTTGAAATTTCACCCATCACTTCCACCTCAATCGAGCATCTTGTTGAGGTGAATAGTTGCTTTTTACAATATGTTTTAATCTTTACATATTGTAACTGCGGAAACATTGACAACTTAATAATTCCAATTATTTTTTTCTTCTCTCAAATATATACATAGAAGTTAGGATCCACTTAAATGTTAAAATAGACATGTTACATTGCAATCTTAAAGAAAATCCGAATTCCGAACATGAACATTAAAAGTTAAAATAGACATGAATCATACCAAAAAAGTATAAATGTAATTTATGAACCATAAATGTAAATGTCAACAATAGGTGTGTCCAACATGTAAACTTCTAAATTATTTTTTACTACGCTGAAAGCTTTTCAAGAACCACAAATCTCATCTCTACCTCACATACTTATTATTATCACCTTTTCTTATTCATACAATAAATATATATAAACGGAGGACAAAGAAGTTGCTTTATAGTGGGAAAAAAGAATTCATTTGAAGGGCTCTATCTGATTAGTACAGTCTCAAGCTACATTAACATGCAAAATAGAGTAACCGGCAGAGAAAGTTGTTCTGCAAAATATACTACTGATTCACCAAACGGGCTATTAGCTACTAAAGAAACAGGCACCACTCACCAACAAATCCAAAATCCATGCACCCGCTAAACATAGTGGTTATCTCTTAAACAGGTATATATTATGTGCTTTCAGTAATGGGGAGGTACACACCCTCTGCAGCCAACCATACATTATCCGCTCGCTTTTCTCTAACGCCACAAACCTACACAAGTATGTGGAAATGGTTAACATACCAACTAGTAACAAGGGAAGAAAAAACTTCAGAAGTCGTATAATTGCCAGCTCCTTCACCATTAACAATTTAGTAACGGAAATTCATGTTTAGAAAGCAATAAAAGTAGGCTTTCACACTCAATGATTGGCTAACTAGCAAGTATTGAATATTTAGTATTGTTAAACATGATGGAAGACCAATATATTCCTTAGCATGGAATTTAAAATAAAAAAATGTCCAAATAATAATAGAAAAATGAATTATGATATATTTCCATTCTCACCTCTTGCTGACCACCAGCTATTCTGGAGTATTTCTTGTTGTGACTATGCAGGTAACCACCAGTATCGACATGTTGAAGCCGAATCCTTTGATCTTGCTTCCAAGTCTTTCCACTTCCCTCAATTATAAGCCTGAGAGGATCCTCCAATAATGAAAACACCAGCAGAACAGATAACCAAGAAAGATACACATAACTTCAACAAAAGAAAAATTTAGGCCTCACCTCCAATAATCGCCGGTATCTGATTCTGATTCTCCTCCGAAGCAGCTGACCTATACCCCATATTGAGAGGGTAATCATCAGTAAGTCTCAGTGAAAAATTTTGGGAATTCAAGTTATCATTGGCAGCTGAAACATGTGAAAAATACTAGCCTCGAGATTTCCCGATATTGGGGATGCATGCAAGTGGCTATGCAGCCATTTCCTAGTCCTCATATGTTGCAATCTAATAATTGTCCCGTTGGGGATGGTGTCTCCTTGTTTGGCAGATGTATCAGGTGTAGACCGAACAATCTGCAAAGCATAGTCTCAAATGAATTTGGATGATGAAAAATGCTCTTATGACACTATTAAATGAGAATTGAGTTGTAAAAAGTACTAAAAACCAAACTCTTCCAAACTTGTTCAACTTTCAGCATCAAATCAATCACCATAAAAGAAAATATATTTAGGAAAAGAAAATGCCACTAACCAATTTGTATATAGGAAAGGAAGAATTTCATGTTCTTGAACCATATAAATAATTATTCTGGAAGTGAAGGACACCATAATATCATCACATTCACAGGGTTTACTAACAAATAATTGATACAATAAAAATGTTTACCATAAACTTGGAAAAGTTCATTGATCCATTAGATTTAACCATTGAAAAATACTTTGATTGCGTAATGTAGTTAAAGCAACAACAAATAAACGCTCCCAAAACCATATTCCATTCAGAAACTAGTTAAGAAGATCGAGCAGGTAAGACAAAGAGAGAGTACCCAGTAGCTGTTGGAGTCGTCTACATTAGGAAAACCGGTGACAGATTGCTGTCCACTACCAGAACCGTACGGCACATCGTGTGAATGAAGCCTAATTTTTGTTTTCTCGTGCATCAGCTTTAAAACCGTCCCATAAGTAACCTGTTCCGTTTATTAAATCTAATTAAAATATCAAACAAGGAATTATGGGGGAATAGAAATAAGTGAAAAAGGATGTTTAAAACCTCGACGTTCTGGGATGCGGAGGAGGAGGAGGAGAAGGCGGTGGCGGAGGAAGGAGAACCTTGATCGAAATCAAAAGTGAGGAAGAGGAAGAGAGCAAGACCAAAGAACCCGATCGCCATCAAGAACAGCAGTCCAATGAACCAATTCTGTTGCCAAAATGGATAACCAACCTTTGTACTCTTTCTGAAATGCCCTCTCTGGCCTGAACTTGACGATGATGACGGAGACAGAGACGATTTTCTATGACGGACGTCTTGCGGCCGCGACGTCGCCACGGTGGATGATATTCTTTTAGATCTAACGGGAAATTAACCGATTAGTGTAGCGAAATCGCTTTTTAACGAATCTGGCTAGCAACGGGTGATCGAGGAGGGAAAGAGAATTAGAGAAGTATGAAGCGGGAACATCTCATTGACGGTTGACACGTTGGAGTGACATGATTCCATCCGATAGAAATATGACATTTGGAGAAATGATGATGTGGAGGATTTTAATTGGGTGAAATTTCTTTTGTTAAATAAACGCTTGACTTGAAATGAGAATTTTGTCTTTTGGGTGGAGCCGGATCTTCGAGGAAACTGCTAAGAAACCGATGTGTATTGCTCCGGTTTAAGTGAACCATTCCTTCGGAAGGGCCGTTTTTGTGTTTGGGCTTTGCTTTTCAACAGTGTGGAGTTCCAAATGGATCTCTGGCCTAATTATTACAAACATATAACCTTAACTGCACGCAAAGTTACAAGAATATACAACGTCAGAAATCAGAATCTACTATGGTACATTCTGTTGAAACTTAAAATGACAATTTATTCAACTTTCCTGACCAAATTGTGTTGAAGCGTTGACAGAACCAAATGGTGCCACCTAAACTGGCTGATTTCAACTTTAGACAGATCAAGTTTACACCAGAAACAGAGTCATCTCTGTTTAGCCTTTTGTTTTCCTACGGCAAAGATCAGAAGAAAGCTTGATTTAGAGCAAGAATAATGGCAGGAACTGCTGTGTTTTCTGAGCTAGTTGATGAAGATGGTTTGTTCAAGTATCATCATGCGGGGAGTGGAAGAAATCATCTTCAGGAAAGTCTGTGGCAATCATCAACCCAACCACTAGACAGCCTCAATTCAAAGTCCAAGGTATTAATACTTTCTTGTTAAGTTCACTGATGATCACTCCTTTCTCTTGTTTTTTCAAAGCTATGGATGATCATTACATATCTTAAAGACTTCAATTAGTGTTTTTTTTTTCTGCATGGTCTTTGATTCGTTAATGTATTTTTTTTCCTGATTGTTTGGAACAGCGTGTACTCAGCAAGAGGTAGACAAGTTGATGGATGAAGCTAAAACTGCTCAAGTCATGGGCTAAAACCCCACTTTGGAAAAGCGCAGAGTTGCTTCATAAAGCAGCTGCTCTCTTGAAAGAGCACAAGTTTGCCATTGCAGATTGCCTTGTCAAAGAGATTGCAAAACCGGCAAAAGATGCTGTGACTTAAGTGAGTTTAAACACAATTTCCATCTTTTTCCTCTGCTGAAAATTTTGTGGGTATTTAATTTAAATTTTATATAGGCTGTAAGGTCTGGGGATCTGGTTTCATACTGTGCTGAAGAAGGGGTCAGGATACTTGGTAAAAGGAAATTTCTGGTATCTGATAGTTTTCCAGGGAATGAAAGGACCAAATACTGTCTCACTTCAAAGGTAATTTGCCCATGGTTTTCAAATTAGCCGTGTTGCTTTGAGCAATGGTTTTTCACTATTTTCGATGATAATAATATATGGTTATGGGATATCCAAAGAGTCATTGACCAACTCGATAAAATATATATTTCTAAAAGAAATTTTAATATAGTGCCGAGTGTTTTCTGTGGACAAGTGTAGCATGATACTTGCATGCGTGTGTATATGTCAGCAGATGCAGTAGCCAGTAGGTAAATTGAGTGTTGCTGTCCTTTTTGCATATTATAATTCTGTTATGTTTTGTTCTTATCTGGATGCTCATTTTCACCTAAGATGTTCTTATGTGTTTGCCTATATTCATAAGCCTTAAGATGAATACTGAAGTGAACGATGAACGACAGGCGGCACTGCTGCTGTTTATGTTAAATGGTATGAACAATGGTTCAACAAAAATATGTTTAGACTGAACTAACATATTATTGATCATTGTTTATAAAATTAGTCTATGCTGGTTAGTGATGAAATTAGTCTTGAATACGGATTCCTCCAATGATGATCGTTAAATATAATTTAATGCTGTAAATTCCATATTTGTTCTAAAATACATCAGACATAAAATGAACTGGTATGTGTTCTTATCAATTCTCATGCTCCCTTGTAGCTCATATTCAAGAAGCCCTGATTATTACTTGATTTTGATTTTTGAGGACCCTGACTTCGAATTCTAT